GTATACAAATGTAAGCATCGCTTCGCACTAAGGTATTTCTAAAAAAGAGAAATTAAGAAAGAACGTTACCAGAAAAGGATGATGTAAATCCTAAGCTAGAAACACTAATTTAACATAATAGATAAGCGCAACAGAATTTGATTATATTTTGACACAAATGGAGTTTTCTAGTATCTTTGAAAAACTTTATTTTAGAAAAATTGAGCGTACTACCAGAAGATATTCTTCTGGTCACATTCTACTTGAGTTGCCTGTGTCAGATTTAATCGATAAATCATTCATCTAAATCATCATCAAGTGCATTAAAAGTTGCATAACGTCTATGCGGTTGCGCTGCCAGATATTGGGAACAATTACTGAATAATTTTCTTTGGCACTGAAATGCAAGCGAAAACGGTCAGAGCGAAACAAGTCTGATCGTTCATAAAACTACTCACATTTGACATGTTTAGTGATTCGTTCAATAACAGTTTTACCCGTTTTAACCTGGAGGTGTTTGTGAAGACAAAAGTGTTTGCTCGTTTAGTAGCCGCAGGAGTCAAATTGGCAGATAAATTCTTTTGAAGTTCTCGTTCGACAGAATTGACTGAGAAATCATGTTCAAAATCTTCTTCCTCGACGTCACTTTCTTCAGAGTGATTTGTCCAGCCGGATTTTGTCGTATGGTAACACTTTTTGCTATGTTTTATAAATAGCCGCCTGAATACCTCTGAAATGAACTGAAAACCTTTTCCTAAATCAGTTTTCAATGCTGATTTCGAAAAACATAGCTCAAATCTTCCATCTTGCACAAGCTCAAAAAGTCAATTTCATGATAGAGGACGGTTTTTTGTATTTTTGAGGTCCTCTTAGTAATTTGAGTTTTTCTCCATGAAGAAATGGCGTTTGGAGGCTCGGAAGGTGTTAATCGTAATCAGCTCGTTAAGCTAATCTACATATATATAATAATGCGAAAAATAAATTCCACTGAAAGTTTGCATTTTTGCCACCTTAAAAAAAGCTCTGGTTTGAACCTTTTGGTGTTAGGAAAAACAATATTTCTTTCTACGCTGAGTTCTACTGAATTCAGCTCTAAAAGTATGAGTGGCTTTTTTTCAAATTTTATTTCGTTGCTCAGAGAATTTAGTTTTTCTAACTCGAAGGGGAAGAAGTCGAAATCCTGCCCGTGATTCTCAATCTTCTCCGTCAGATTTTCACCAAAAAATGAAAATAAATTAAAAGTTCCGAAGTACACATCAGCCCAGCCAGTTTTTTATCCTGATTCCGAATATGATATGTCTGCTGCATAAAAGTTGAGTTCTGATGGAGAAAATTGAGAATCACGAGCAGAATTCTGACTTTTTCTTCTTGCAGGTAGAAAAATTTTCTCAACAGCGAAACGAAATTTGAAAAAAAGTCTCTGATACTTTTAAAGCTGAATTCAAGGCGAATCGAATGGCATATGAAACTTGGTTCCATTCCTTCACACAAAAGGCTCGATAGCTTTACAGAATGACTCGTGCCTATTATCCATTGGTTCTTTTGGAGGTCTTTTGACCATATGTATAATACTTCATCCGACTCAGTTTTGTTCGTAGATTGCAAATATGACGTTAAAACTGGTTAATAAGTAAATCAGACCAGAAAAAACAAATTAAGTCCAAAATATCCTCTATGGCGGGATACAGTTTTCCAGTAAAGATTTTTTTCCCATAGACGCAGATGGATTCAGACCTCCACATGACTGTGGCAACATCTCATTGTACTACATTAGCGAATGCCGACTCTTCCTTTTACATCAATACCGATTAAAGACCAAAACCATTGTGACATCCATATCTCGCTAACCAGAAGGTATTAACCAAAACCCAATAAAGGTTTAGATCCGTCACGAGAAGCTCTACAAAACCTGATATATAACTTTCTGGTTCGACATACTTTTGAAATTCGGCAGGGTGTTTTCTAAATGCAAAACAATGCAGCTTTTATTTTCAAAAATGACAAATACCACTTTTCGAGATGCAAATGCATCTCTTCTTAGATTCTGGAAAGCAAAGTCAGTTTTTTTTGCATTTTAGAATGCAAAATGCCAAAAAAATCCGAAATTTCAGGCGACATTTTTCTAAAAGAAAAATGCAAAATATTGTAATCTGACGGAATACATCGGCACTTATTCAATATAGCTACCAAGTTAACATATATTTCCTAATATTTTTGCACCCTGGACCGACTTTGCAAAAAGATTTTTCTGCAGTTTTCATCAGAATTCAGTTTTGGAATCGAATGAAATATCATACATGGGGCTCAAAACAACTTTCATTTTTTCTACTACACCCACCAGCCAAATTGGCGTCAACTGGGGATGAGAAAATGAAAGAGCATTGAAATCTGACGAAGATCTGCTTCAATCTATATAACATGGTATCATGCAAATTGACCAACACTTGCGAACCTCATAACTCGACATATGTTGAAGGGCTCATCCCCGTACATTTTAACTGTGAAGGATAGACAGGGAGAGTAACAATCTGAGCTGAAATCGTGGCACTTCTGAACAACCTCACGGACTGACCTGCCCAAAATTCTCAGGAACTGACTCTTAAAAAATCAGTCCGAACATCTCTGTGAATCGATTCCAACAAACATTTTTACTTTTAATAAAAAAACATTCTGTATTACGGACATCATTAATCTACAATGTAAAGGATGAGTATTTAGAACAGCTCGATAAGAAATATCCTTTATCGATGCCTATGAGCTCCATGAGCAACCAGCAATTTGAAGAATAATAGAACGTGTACTATATAATGATGATGGCATAGATGATAAAATACGTGATATCTGATTTTTATGAGTAATTTCAATTAATCTTGATTGATCTGTGGAACCGCTAGAATGAACAAGAAATGCCAAATGTTCGCTTGTTAATTGAATGTTGCATAGACATCATGCCAACTCTACAGTATAGGCTATATTGATCTGTGTATGACTTGACAGAATACTATCAATCTGTATCAAATGATATCCGTCAAATCTAAATTTTTCTGATGTTTGTGTACTAAAATAATCAGCTGAGATTTTTGTTGTACATCATTTTAATCAACTGTTTCAAACGTTCAAAGGGATCATCAGGATTCAACGAACAGCAGACTGCAACAATTGTCAGTAAAATAAGACAAAGAGGTAATTTTAATATTCTAATTGAAGTTAAACTTCTTTTGTCAAGTTTCGTAGAGAAGAGAAACGACGAATGAATGTGCCTTTCTGCTTAGAACTAAAAATAGACTTTCTCGACGGACGAGAACTAGGTTAAACTATCGGTTACTCATAGTCCTTTATATTCACATCTGTCTTTCATTCTTTTTGACTGACGAAATATCTTCCATTTTTCTTTTTTTCGTGTTGTGTTTAGGCAATAACTTGGTCATCATCGTCTGACAGACTATACAACAGACAGATTTTTTTTCTGCACTCTTCAATGGACAAAAATTGACGGAGCTGCGGGCGAAATATCGCAAATGGTGATTTTTGAGAGTTTTTCCATGGTATCGACTCTGACCTTCATTTCACGTCCAAAATCGCTCAAAACTCTTTCCTAACCCTAATTTCTCTCGTCGAGTAAGAGTATGCGATAAAATGTTTAAGTCAATTTTGGTTATATCATCGTCTCGACGGAATGAGAAATTTATTTATGTTAAAATTTCATCAGACTGAGTTTCTTTATTTTTAATTCATTGTATACATTTTTCTTCAGATACTGTGATCTAGTTTCAATTTGCAATAAGGGAATAAGGCTCGATAATTTTACTGCTTAGAAAAGATGCTGCAGAAGTGGCATATATGTGAGGGAAGAAGTTCTAATCTTTTTTCGATATTTACATGACAGACGCAATAGAACGTCTCTCCAGCCCACAAAATAATTTCTCGGTCGGTTCGCGCTTGACTAACATCTACAAAGTTTTCAAACTCAAAACTTCAGCAACTGAAATTTCGTTATATCACGGATGATTATAACTTACATTTGATCAAATTTTTGGATACTAGAGCTTCTCAAGGCATAGAATCGATGTTACCAAGCGATGTCTTTGCTTTCTCGCACTATTTCTTATTGTGTGCGTGTCAATTATTCGTTGTTTCATTTACAAAAAGAAGATTGAAATTTGTTTTGAAAGGTTTCTCGGTATTTTTCAATTAAAGGACTATACAATCGAATAAAATCGAATACAATCGAATTCTACTTTGAATATTGATCTGAAAAAACGAAAAAATATAACCGAATTTGTATCAAGAAAATAATAATAAAAAATAATATTTCAAGAGGAGACGCGCGCTTCTTACCCATTACGTACAAAAAAAAAGATGCCTACGGTCATCAATGTGGGTAGCAAAGGCAGTACAGCGAGAAAAGAACCTTCGGCAGTTGTTCAAGATTATTCAGTTATGCAAGAGAAACGTCGACCGTCAGAAGATACTGCCAGAATTTCACGGATATCTCAACAATTAGCGCCCGCTATTCAGAATCATTCAGTTATGCAAGAAAAACGTGGACCGTCAGAAGATACTGCCAGAATTTCACGGATATCTCGACAATTAGCGCCCGCTATTCAGAATCATTCAGTTATGCAAGAAAAACGTGGACCGTCAGAAGATACTGCCAGAATTTCACGGATATCTCAACAATTAGCGCCCGCTATTCAGAATCATTCAGTT